TATACCACAGCTTCTCTAGCCATTCGTTTGTTGATGGGCACTTAGGTTGTTTCCAACTCCTTGCTATTGTGAACAAAGCTGCAATAAACATGGGGATGCATATATCTGCTTGGATGTCAGCTATGGTCTCTTCAGGGTATATTCCCAGTAGTGGAATTGCTGGGTCAAATGGTATCTCTATTTAACCCGGCCATTTTTATGTTGTTTGAGTTTTGTTCTATTCCCTCACCCCACCTCATTCTACCCAGGACCTTTTACTGTATTCCTTTTAAGAGTGCAGTGGGCACTATCTAGTTCTTCTGGTCTCAGCATCATGGAAGGGAACTCTAGTGGCCTAGTCTATAGGGAATTGCGATGCTAACTCAAAGGCCACACCTCTCTGGCAGCTCAAATCTACCAGTGCCTCCTAAGGAGAAAGATGTGCACTTTTCTTCCATTTCACTTTACAGCCTGCCTGAGGTTCTGATGCAGGGTCACTGTGAGTGGGAACTAATTTGACTGACAGATGCATTTTGGTCCTTTGGACTTTTGACTTCCTGACTGCTGGTGCTAAGAATGTTGATTGTAGATGAAATTCATCATGGTGCTGCCAGTTGGCCCAGTGATGCAAATTTTTGTCTTCTTGATGTTGAGCTTCAATCCATATTGAAGACTACAGTCCTTGACCTTCTGCAGCAGACGCTTCAGGCTCTCCTCAGTTTTGGCAAGCAAGCTTGTAACATCTTCATATTGCATGTTGTTTATGAGTCTTCCTATCCTGATGCCACATTCCTACTCATAAAGTCCAGTCTCCTGAATGATCTGTTTTGCATACAGATTAAAAAGATATGGAGACAGGATGCATCCCTTACACACCTGCTTCCCAATCTAAGTAGAGGTTTTGCATGAACACAATTAAGTGTTCTGTGATTCCCATTCTTCTCAAGGTTAGCCACAATTTGTTGTGATCCACACACATAACAACTATAACCTTTGGACTAGTTGATTTTAACTTACCTTTGGAAACTCAAGGTTTTAGTATTATCATCCACATTTGTTATCTTTCTTTTGTTATATTTTAATTGAAGACAATCTGGGCTGCTGTCTGCCTCCTCTCCATTTTATGAAGTCTTGGACTAATTGTTTCTATATCTCTTTGCTTTTCTTCTCTCTTTACTCTGAACATTGAGATATCAGTTGATAGTTACACCTTAAATGGCTCCTCAAGATTTTAAGACCCCAGTTACTATTCACCAAAGAAGTATGTAGAACATAGTCTTTGTGGACTATATTATGCCAATTGAGTTTTATATCTCCCAAGACTATTATCCTGAGGTACCACGACCGGCAATTCATTTCCTGAGGGCGGTTATGATTAAGAAGTTTGCTTACACTAGCAAAATTTAACAGAACAGCAAGCAACAAATGCTGGCGAGGTTGTGGAGAGACTGGAACCCTTATTCACTGTTGGTGGGAGTGTAAAATGGT